AATAATACACATCGTGGCAATATTAAACCCATCCTCGAAAAATTAATAAAATTCTTGAACCGGTTTTAACTAAATCGATAAATCAGTAGATTAATGTAAAAGCATTCCCCGGAAAATTCTACCCCTGTTTCATATATAATTCTTTAAGATTCGGTAAATTATTTCCCAAAAAATTAAAAAAATCGGGTTCCAGTAAATTGGTAACGAAAAACTATACACATGACGGAACTCCCCGGAAAATTCTATCTTTATTTTATATATACCACTTTAAAATTTAGTCCACTAACGAATGAGTAGTTAAGCAAACATACACACACCAATCCACAAAAATGCTTTAAACTAAAAAATATCACTTTTTTATCGACTGAAGTTCAATTCCGTCGTATACAATTCTTTGAAATTCACTTAATTATTTCCTAAAAAAATTGATAAAATTTTTTTACCAATTTTCAAAAAAATTGGTTACGAAAAATTATACACTTTATGGCACTTCCCGGGAAATTCTACCGCTGTTTTATATACAATTCTTTAAGATTCGGTCAATTATGTCCCGAAAAATTGGAAAAATTTCGGATACCAGTTCCCAAAAAGATCGGTAACAAAAAACTATACACTCTATAGCACTCCCCGGAAAATTCTACCCCTGTTTTATATACAATTCGTTAAGATTTGATCAATTATTTCCCAAAAAATTCGAAAAATTTCTGATACCGGTTTCCAAAAAAGCGGTAACAAAAAATTATACACTTTATGACACTCCCCGAGAAATTCTACTCTTAATTCATATACAATTCTTTAAAATTCGGTCAATTATATTATTTCCCAAAAAATTGGAAAAATTTCGGATACCGGTTCCCAAAAAAATTGGTAACAAAAAACTATACACTCTATAACACTCCCCGGAAAATTCTACCCCTATTTTATATACTTTTGGTAAAAATTCGGTCGAATAGTTTAAGAGTGTATAAAGAACATACATACATTACATACATACATATACATACATACATACAGACATTCTATTTTATATATATAGATATAGAGGAAAGATTTAGTTATATGTACATATATATATAATGTCACACATATATATATATATATATATATATCTATATATATAAAGGAAGATGTCCTGACTGACTGACTGACTGACTGACTGACTGACTGACTGACTGACTGACTCATCAACGCCCAGGCCAAACCCCTGAACCTAGAGACTTGAAATTTGGAGGGTGTATTCCTCTCATGACGTAAGCATCCACTAAGAAAGGATTTTTAGAAATTCCACCCCTAAGGGTGAAAAGGGGTAAAATGTGTTTTTTTCACGATTGTTCTGACTGACTGACTGACTGACTGACTGACTCATCAACGCCCAGCCCAAACCCCTGAATCGAATTTTTACCAAAAGTATATGAAATAGGGATAGAATTTTCCGGGGAGTGCCACTATGTGTATAGTTTTTTGTTACCGATTTTCTGGAAACCGATTTTTTTAATTTTTCCTATTTTTTGAAAAATAATTGATCAAATCTCAACAAATTATAGATCAAACAGGGGTAGAATTTTCCGAGGAGTATTATGAAGTGTATAATTTTTCGTTACCGATCTTTTGGAAGCCGGTATCAAAATTTTTTAAAATAATTTTTACCAAAAGTATATGAAATAGGGGTAGAATTTTCAAAGGAGTGCCATTATGTGTATAGTTTTTTGTTACCAATTTTCTGGAAACCGGTTTTTCTAATTTTTCTAATTTTTCGGGAAATAATTCACCGAATTTCAAAGAATTGTAGATCAAACAGGGGTAGAATTTTCCGGGAAGTGCTATGAAGTGTATAATTTTTCGTTACCGATCTTTTGGAAGCCGGTATCGAAATTTTTTCAATCTTTCGGGAATTAATTGACCGAATCTGAAAGAATTGTATATAAAGTAGGGGTAGAATTTTACGGCGAGCGCCATAATGTGTACAGTTTTTGCTATCGATCTTTTTGGAAATCGGTTTTTTTAATTCTTTCAATTTTTCGGGAAATAATTGATTAAATGTCAAAGAATTATACATGAAGTAGGGGTAGAATTTCCCGGGGAGTGCTATAAAGTGTACTATTTTTTATTACCGATCTTTTTAAAAACCGGTTTCGAATGACCGAATCTCAAAGAATTGTACATAAAGTAGGGGTTGAATTTCCTGGGGAGTGCTATCAAGTATATAATTTTTTGTTATCGATCTTTTTGGAAAGCGGTATCAGAAGTTTGACGAATTTTCGGGAAATAATTAATCGAATTTTAAAGAATTGTATTTAGAGAGAGAGAGAGAGAGAAAAAGAGAGAGAGAGGGCGGGGAGGGAGAAAGGGAGAGAAAGAGAGGAGAGAGAGAGGGGGAGAGGGAGGGAAAGAGAGAGAGAGAGAGAGAGAGAGAGGGGGGGGAAGAGAGAGAGAGAGAGAGAGAGAGAGGAAGAGGAAGAGAAAGAGAGAGGGGGAGAGAGAGACAGAGAGAGAGAGAGACTATTTGCGTGTCTGATTACATATGTCCTCCGGGGCGAAGCCCGGGTAACCAGCTAGTATATATATATATATATATATATGTGACATTCCACGTCAAGTGGCCCCTCCCTCTGTCCAAAAATTGAAGCGACTTACAATATTGCGTTTGGGCTTAAATGTTCGTATAAACGAAGGCTTTCAAAATTTGAGTGGCCTTTTTAAAAAACTCCATAACTCTATGACCCCATAAGCAAAATCACCCAAAAACCTGATGAAGTGATCTTACAATATGATTTATACGACTTGTCTCATCTCAATAATTGCTTTAATTAAGCTGTTTGGCCCTAAAACCCTCATAAATTATTAACCCCATGATCCCTTGATCTTATAACCCTCAAAACCCCATAATCCCATAACTATATAGCCTCATAAGCTTCTAAACCCCTGTAATCAAAACCATCGCACTTTGATTATTTTTCTATACCTTCGTAATCCTGTAATCCCATAACCCTTTAACCCTAAAACACCAAAACCCCATAACCCCATTCTAGAGCTGATTGAAGTTTGGAACGTTCTTGGAGCGATTATTTAAAAATGATTTGGCCCATTTCTCGTTTGGCACAGAGGACCTCCTGAGTGCCGCACACGAAATACAAAATAGAGGAATACGATACACCCTGCGGAAGACATCCTTATATACAAAAAACTACCCCAAGATCACTTAAAAAATTCTGCCCTTGCTAAAAATGGTTTGGCCCATTTCTTCTTTGGCACAAAGGACCTCTTGAGTGCCGCACACGAAATACAAAATAGAGGAATACGATACACTCTGCGGAAGACACTCTTATATACAAAAAACTACCCCAAGATTACTTAAAAAATTTTGCCCTTGCTAAAAATGGTTTGGCCCATTTCTCCTTTGGCACAGAGGACCTCCTGAGTGCCGCACACGAAATACAAAATAGAGGAATACGATACACCCTGCGGAAGACACCCTTATATACAAAAAACCTACCCTGAGATCACTTAAAAAATTCTGCCACAGGGTGTATCGTATTCCTCTATTTTGTATTTTGTGTGCGGCACTCACACGGTCCTCTGTGCCAAAGGAGAAATGGGCCAAACCATTTTTAGCAAGGGTAGAATTTTTTAAGTGATCTTGGGGTAGTTTTTTGTATATAAGGGTGTCTTCCGCAGGGTGTATCGTATTCCTCTATTTTGTATTTTGTGTGCGGCACTCAGGAGGTCCTCTGTGCCAAAGGAGAAATGGGCCAAACCATTTTTAACTAGGGCAGAATTCTTTAAGTAATCTTGAGGTAGTTTTTTGTATATAAGGGTGTCTTCCGCAGGGCGTATCATATTCCTCTATTTTGTATTTCGTGTGCGGCACTCAGGAGGTCCTCTGTGCCAAACGAGAAATGGGCCAAATCATTTTTAAATAATCGCTCCAAGAACGTTCCAAACTTCAATCAGCTCTAGAATGGGGTTATGGGGTTTTGGTGTTTTAGGGTCAAGGGGTTATGGGATTACAGGATTACGGAGGTATAGAAAAATAATCAAAGTGCGATGGTTTCGATTACAGAGGTTTAGAAGCTTATGAGGCTACATGGTTATGGGGTTATGAGGTTTTGAGGGTTATAAGATCAAGGGGTCATGGGGTTAATAGTTTATGAGGGTTTTAGGGCCAAACAGGTTAATTAAAGCGATTATTGAGATGAGACAAGTTGTATAAATCATATTGTAAGATCACTTCATCAGGTTTTTGGGTGATTTTGCTTATGGGGTCATGGGGTTATAGAGTTTTTTAAAAAGGCCACTCAAATTTCGAAAGCTTATGTGAACATTTTAAGCCCAAACGCAATATTGTAAGTTGCTTCAATTTTTGGACAGAAGGAGGAGCCACTTGACGTGGAATGTTACATATATATATATATATAAGGTGCACTCTACTCACATCTTATTATATCTGGCTTCACATACATTTATATACAATTAGATATATGGTGCAGCTATATCTGGTTGTATATGGATCCACTGATTGCACATGAGACCATGTATAATTAAATATGACCTCATATAAAAACATGTACAATTATATATAATTATATATATACCAGATATAATCATATAATTTATATTACTTTTTCTCGCGTTGTAATCAAAATTATTTAGTTATTTCTTCTCAATTGTGTTATTTAGTTATTTCCTAAATTTGTATTTAAGAAAAGGGATTGATTCTGATCGAGATACATTGCAAAAAGTTAAAATACGTCCACCAGTTTAATCTTTCCTAACTTGACAGCTCAGTCTGAAACTGCAGTGAGAAAAAACCGTATACGTAACTATTAAATAACTCGTGAAAAACTATCGACACAATAGCGACAATGATATTTCTTTTATATATTTTAATAAAAATCAGTAACTGAATATTTGGCCTACTAGGAATCCCCTACAATACGAAATCATATTTTAAGACAGAATATGAATATACAGTTATTTATTACATCTATAAATTATCTTACCTATAAGTAACTAGTTCGCCCATCCGATGAACTGCTTCTATATACCGCTTCTGAAACGCACCAAGACCTCGTAGAGAAGTGCCCATGGCAGTTTCTGCAAACGCATTTTTAAAAAAAGTATCATGATAATGTATTAACATATATATTTCAAAAATATCTGTGGCTTTAGAAACTTTATATATGGATCAATATAATATAGAAATAGTGCGAAATATTGTGACATAGAAAAGCAATATGAAACAACACAACATCTATAAAAAGCCTATGAAAGGCCTATGAAAGCTCTTTCAGCCTATAAAAGGTCGGTCCCAACCTGTTAATAAACTATAATAATTAAATCATTATATATGTCTTTATTTTTTCTTTAAATTAGACAAAGATAGACATATTTAACTACTAGTTTACCAACTTAGCTTACCAACAGGTTGGAATAACTGACCCTAAGTGTTACAACTTACAATAGCGGACAGCAGTAAAATTACTAGCTGCTGTAGACTTCTAAACTAACGTACAAAAAGCGGCAGTGTAATACAAGGTGTCATAGGGTTAATATGTTAAATTGAAGATCTGATATGTATCATTTTTACTGCGTAAGATTAGTTTATAAACTTTTATTTTGAAGTCTACTTCACAGATTTTTAATTACTTTTTGTTGTATGTAAAACTAAGACAGAACTTTAGTGTAGTCTATTTAGCAAGTGTCGTATGGCATATATTTCTATGTACAAAAAGGTAAAAAGGCGATATTGGATAATTTGTGGAATAGTTTGTGTAACCCGTCACTCTTTGTAAGTATTGCATTTTATACTCTATTGTTTCTTTCAGGAGTAACATTATTATAATAAATATATATCATAACTATATAAGTATATATGTATTTTATGAGTAAAAATTTTAAACATGTTACATATACATATGACATTGTTACAAAAAACATAAAAATTAGAGTTTGTAATGAATTATAATATAATAAATAAATAATATAATAATTATCATAGACTATTCAATCATTAATATGCATCAAAATACAAAAAAATGTTCTTTTTCCAAAATTAATAAGATTTTCCGCATTGCCCACCCCCCAGAAAAAATTAATATAACATTAAACTTACTACAGATAAACGAATTTTGTTAGGAACACCTTATAACAAACATTTGACGTTACAACTTAATGGAAACTGAATTTAATTAACTTTCATAGGTTTCAAGTTATCTCAAAAAGGGCTTAGAATATACTTGCATTTCCTGTATAGTATATCAATATATAATATCAATATATAATAAGAAAATTAAAATTTGGTCTAATATTATTTGTCAATGGGAATAAAATATACAGTTTAAATGTACAGTTTAAAATGTAGTAAGCACATCATACCGCATATTGCATTCAACGTATGTTCACTAAAAAATGGTACTAAATCTTTCACAATGGTGCCTCCTGTATTTTTTAAAGACTTGGTCATGCTTTCGCCTTCCTCGATCAAAATCTCAACAAACTGCTGCAATATATTAAAATGAAATGTGGGGGTTAAGATTTTTCGTCGTGGATGCCACTTGGCGCCTAAAACATAAACAACATAATGCATAATTGTGAGATAACAATGTGAAACAAATATTACGGTCAGATATATATTTTGTTATTTAATTTTAAATTTATCGATTTTTAATGATTATTGATTATTTCGGACCCGGCACTAATTATATAGGAAATGGGATTTCAATAAAATCGGCTAATTTTTTAATATGTTATAGCTTATACCCTACTAAATAAAAAATGTAATAAGCTTAAAGCTAAATAATGGACAGTTTTTGAGCTATCGTCAGTCAAACAAGAAAAATTCGAATATATGAGTGTTATATTCCTACTTTTGGTATAACCCAGCCCAGTCAGAAATGATTAGTTGTTTCGACGTTGAATCAATGTCGAAAACCGAATGTCGAATCAACGTCGTAATTCTGGTCGATTCGACGTCGAAAGCGTATAAAATATCACCGACTATTCAACTTATCGTTTCAACGTCGTTTCAACGTCGAAGGTTGAAATTTGATTGAAATATAGTATATTATATATTTTATATTTTTTTATATATGCAGTGTTTGTCTGGATAGGTCCTAAATATAAAATTCATATATATTATTTATACATATGTGATTGATCGCGCAATCCGAGTCGAAATTTTACTCCTTCTTTCGACCTCTTATTTTTCACATCTCAGGATTCTAAAGGATTTTGATAGGTTCTAATTGTATTGTACTTAGCTCCTACTTTGTGCCTGAAAACGGCAGAAAACGGACTGTTTCCCATTTTGAGGTTTAAAAGAGGAGTTATCGGTAAAACCCTCCTAAACCTCCTAAAACCCTCTAGATCCTACACTAATAGAAAAATGTACTAAATTTTAATTAATGTTTTCTCCAGTAGTCCTTATAAAGTATTTTTTTAATTCAGTTAATATTTTTCGAATGAAAAAAATATTCATCCAATTGAAACAAATTTTCTAAACCTAATAAAATATTTACTGAATTCAAAAGAATACTTTATTAGGACTATTGGAAAAAACATTTATTGTAGTACATTTTATTATCAATGTATTAATTTTTACTACTTTTTAAATCGTAATGAAACATGTTCCATATCACGTACATCATCGATAATTCATATAGTATAGGTTTTGGTAAATTTAGCAACGAGATACGGTTGTGACTTTGACTTATGTTGTCGTATCTCGTTGCTCTGTTAAATGCAATATTTATCTAGATTTATTATTTAGAATCTAAGATTTTTAATATTAAAAAAATATTACCGCAAAATATTTTATAACATTGTTAATTTTAATTTTAATTAATCACAATTTTAATTAATCAGATACATATAGACATACATGTATCACAATTAATAATGTTATAAAATTTATATAATAAATCTTTTTTTTATTAACCATATGAAACACAACTTAAATAAAAACTCCACTGCAAGTCACCGATAATATACATGACATAGAGCATGTTAATATGATAATGTGGTAAATAGCATATAGGGGGGAGAGTCAGAAAAAATCTAAGAGATCGCACACGTTTGTTTCTAAGGTACAAAGGAACATATATTTATTTGTTTACACTTTTTTATCTACTTGTTCATGTACTCTTGCATACTATCTAAATTAAACTCATATTATATCATAACGAAAAAAAAAAAATTTTTTAACCATTTAAAATTAATATATGTATTGTATCTTAATAAAAATTAAAATTAAAATTTAGTTTCAACAAAATTAAAATTAAAATTGAAAAATGTCTTGATACTGATTGTGAGTATCTTAAAATGAAATATCTTAATACTAATAAAACTTAAAATTAATACCTTAATACCAAATAACTAATCGCATATCACAAATGCCATTTAACAAATAATATTAATAATACGGAATTAAAGAGTCTGGATTACCGATTGAAATCAAAGTAAGAAAAGAAAAGAGAAGAAAAGAGAGGGGGGCCTCTGCATTTGTCTACGAGATAAATTCTAGGGCCAAAATATAAACCGGAGTAACAAGAATAAGAGCAATTCCAAGATCTCAAGACGAGATTAACCTTGCAGAGCTCCTTGTACTACTACGAACAATGTCGATCTTCCAATATGGCGTCCCAAATGAGAATATCGGAAGGGCCCTGCTCGCTGGACCGGACTCCTCGCCTCAATTCTCCCTCTCGAGCGCGAACTGCCGCAGCTCTCCTTTTCCTGGCGGTGAGCTCTCCTTGGGAAGTCGAATCTCGCTCGGTTGGTCTCCAGAATATGTGCCGCTTAGCTCAATCAGTTACGAAAGAAGGAAAACGTACTCGTCTCGTCCGAAGAAACGCAGCAAGAGCGGCCATGACACTGAACTGACTGAACGAGAGCGAGCCGAGCGAGAAAGGAGTGGAGGCGCTTTGAAAGTGGCGACTCACGCGTCGCGCCATCTACATCTGAATGAAACGATCGGGCGTTTGCAAAACGCGAAGGAATTTGAGCGCAATATCTGAAGTAAATATTAAATTAATATTAAATAAATGTTAAATAAATGTTTCTTTAAATCATTATTGCAAATAAATAATTAATGTAAAATAAATATTACATTACTGTCGAATAAATGTTAAATAAATGTTTTTTCAATTCATTATGGCAAATAAATAGTTAATGTAAAATAAATATTAAAATAATGTCGAATAAATGTTAAATAAATGTTTTTTTAACTTATTGCAAATAACTTACTAATGTAAAACAAATATTAAATAAACGTTAAATAAACGTTTAATAAATATTTTTTCGAAATTATTACTTCAAATAAATAATCAATGTGAAATAAATATTTAATAAACATTAAATAAATATTATTTTTACAATAAATTGTACAAATGTATAATTAATAAAAAATGAATATTAAAAACACATTTAAAAAACATTGTCTGCTGATTGGGCAAGAGCTTGAATAAATAAATACCAGTCCATATTCAATTATCGTAAATTTAGTAATATGTAAATATATGAAGATAAGTAATTATAAGAAGTAATAACAAAAAGAAAGATGTTTTATAATAGTTTTGTATATATTTAAAATTTCCTATCTTTAGTTGCACATATACGCATGCGTACTCATACATACACACATTCTTTTAATTTTATTTTGAATTATTTTAATAAATAAAGAAAAAAGAGAGAAAGAAGGAAAAAATAATATAAAAAAATACAATTTTATATAAATAATCATTTATACGTCATATATAAAATAATTTTTTTTAGTTATCAATAATAAAACTATTATTATTAACCTAATAAAATTCCTTTTAATTTTGTTTTTACTATTTTTGATTAAATTAATAAATAGAGAGAACCGTTATTATAAACGTTTAATAAATCATATATAATATTTAATCGAAAATATAATAAACCTATAATAATAAAAATAAACTAAATGCAATAAATAAATTAAGAAAACGTTAGGAACATTAAAGTAGGAGCATGATTTCTTTTCAAACAGAATTGTCAGATTCTAAATAGGAGCCAGAGGTTGAAGAGGTTCAAAATAGGGTGATGTGACTGCTTATAGTATCAAAGTAGGTGTTAGGTCGAACATTTTGGTCGAAAGTAGGTGTTATATTGAACATTGAGGTCGAAAATAGGAGAAAAATTTCGACTCGGTACGCCATTTCTTAAACGTCCATAAAATTATTTTGTACAATTTACATAAACAATGTCGTAATATTTTTTAGGATTAAAATCTAAATTGATCGAATTTTATAAGTGCGCACTCAAAACAGCGCTATTAATCGCTTTGACGTTGAATCAACCTTGAATCGACACTGGACATGATCGATATTGCAGGAATATCGACTTTCTTATCGACTCAACCAGCTGTCAACCATATCGACGTTGAATTAACCTTGAATCAAGGTTACATTTCTGACTGGGAGGACAAGTCATAAGCTACAACATATTTAAAAATTAGCCGATTTCACAGGAATCCTATTTTCTATATAATTAGTACTGGGTCCTTTATTTTTTTATATGCATTTAAACTTTTGCGGATTTTGGTATAGTTGTGAGACTATGTGGACGATATCGTTTTTTATAACAAAAATTAGAGAAGTATTGATTGTTAGATATGATGAATACGATGAAAAAATGTTTAAAGAAAGGAATATTAACATTATGTATGGAGAAAGCAAAGGTTATGATTTTTAATAAGAAAAATAGAGTAAAGATAAATATGGGGGGGTTGGTAAGGTAAACGCACCTACTTGTGACCCTGGTCACATCTGTAACCACTCGCGGACTTTTATTAAACTAGTCAGATGTTTTGCGATTAATAAGCCACGATTTGATATATGGTTTTAGTGATATTTGACTAACAAATACTCGTGAAAATGTAATGTAAGGCGCTCGTGTCGGTACCAGTGGCAGATCGAGCCCATGTTTACCGACGGCGATATAGTCTGAAAGCTGGCTACATAAAAATGCATGGTCAGAGAGAAACCTGAGAGAGGCCACCCCGGCATTTTTCGTCAATTTTTTTGTGTCGCATTTTCCGACGCGCCGCCTGAGAAAGTGCAACTCAACTACGTCGTTTCGCTCGGTAACCGCACATGGTTTGCGTCCGTGCTAATGGTTCGTGTCCGAACTAGCCAGTTAGAGGGGATATGCTGCGGCCGTGGCGCACAGTGAAGCCGTTTGCGCGAATCGCGGAAAAAATTATGTTACTTGTGAAATATGTGCAATGAATGATCATAGAACCTTTCAATGTTGACTTATAAAAATTTCAAAAGTGTATATTTATTAAAAATTAATGATAGGAACAAGTTTTTGATTGAAATTAAATAAAAATTCAATTTACATTTAATTTACGTATAAGAGCAAAGTAATTCTTGCGTCTCATCGCTTAAGTCTAAATTTTTTTGATGTGGTTTACTTCTTAAACTAGTTATTAACGGATTGGATGACACGAGCATCATATGCATAACATCTTTATTTGTAAACAGACGGCTACATTTTCTACTATGATTAAGTCGATATCGTTTATAGTCCTTATTTCT